CAGAGTGAAAGTAATGATGGCTGTGAAAAGTCCAAACTGGTGAATACGTGTTTAGAGTAATTGCTTTCACAAGAAATAAAAGTTTTAGCATAGATGGACTTTTATGTTATTTTTCAGAAACCTGCTTTTATCTCCCCTGAGCACCAGCTAAATAGACTAAACGCTTGAATGTAAATGCAGTCCAATTTACTTAAACTGTTTGACAGCGGGTTGACAGAGAGTGCGAGAAATGGCGATAGAGAGAAAGACAGACAGAGAGAGGTTGTGTATTTGTTCTCCGTGTGATAAATATAGGAGGTGAGTGGGTGGAATAAAAACAACACTGCAGCAGGATAAGAGAGGAAATACAGAGAGATAGATATAATGACACCAGCCGAAAGACAATGCGACATAGTGATAATAATAGCGATAAAGTAAGGAAGTGGTGTAATGACACTTAGGGAGAGATGCCATGATACTAATTCAGAGATAATTGTGGCGAAATAGGGAAAGTGAGACGGATGATGGGATGAGAGAGCAGGACAGAGCGAAGGGAGGTGATGACAGAGAGCTGGGGGAAGAGATGCAGGGAGAGAGGTACAGAAAGCGTGATAATATCATTTTGTAAAGCATGGTCAGGAGAGGGAAAGATAAGCAGTGGAGGGGGAAGATGGAGAGAATGACGTTTGCAGAGATACAAACATAATGTGGAAGATACACAATGATTGTGACACAGCGATAATGAAAAAGAAGGAGGGGGTGGTAGATGAGAAGAGCTAGGAAAGAAAACAAGGATACCAGAAACATAGACAAGAGATTTCTCTCCTCTCTCCATTCACCTCCTCTCCACTTTTTTATAGCTGGTATTGAATCACTGCAGTCAATAGTTCTACACAGCGTAACTTAGAAAGATGCATTTGATTTGTGGCCCTGCACGCCGTGGAAAGAGGAGACCAGCATTTGATTTATGAGCCAGGGACCTTGTGGTCAGGTTTTACCAGAGCGCTGCACCTCTCTGCGCCTCTCAACCCTCACATTTAACAATCTCCCTGATTGTTATGTAGATCTGTGCACAGATCCATTCATTAATTAACAAGGCAGACAGGGTTTTTGGTCATTTAGAAATAATTAATTTTACTGCATACGAAATATCTAGGTGGAAAAGGTGCGTTGGATTTATTTTAACAACCAGCTCCTTGTTATACTTGTTAAATATGGAAAAAATATTCAAGTAGTCATCTGAATTTTACCTGAACATGTCTCACGACAGTAACTTTGTTCAGCCCTGCATGTACAATTTAAATTAAAGTGAACATTGATAACAGAGGAAAAGCCTGTGGGATATAAATCAAACAACCATACCTGAAGGATTTAAGCATGTGTTTTAATGAGCACTGTCAGTGTGTATGTAAGCATTTGCGTCTGCACAGCACTCGATTGCGATTCTGTCTGAAGCAGCTTTTTAAAATACTGTTTTCAACTGTGGCAATTGAATAATAGCCTTTCTTCCATCCATCCATCCATCCATCTTCTCCCGCTTATCCGTGGTCGGGTCGCGGGGGTAGCAGTTCCAGCAGAGAGCCCCAAACTTTATTTTCCCTGGCCACATCAACCAGCTCTGACTGGGGGATCCCAAGGCGCTCCCAGGCCAGCGAAAGAGATATAATCCCTCCACCTGGTCCTAGGTCTACCCCTTGGTCTCTTCCCAGCTGGACGTGCCTGGAACACCTCCCTAGGGAGGCGCCCAGGTGGCATCCTAACTAGGTGCCCGAACCACCTCAATAGCCTAATAGCCTTTCTTTTAAATTATATTCAATTCCTTTTTTTCAGCACTCATGGGTATGCCATTGCAGCATAAGGTGATTGCAGTAGGCTTTGTTAAACCGCTTTTGAAGAGTTTTACCATATTTTGATGATTATCAGGATTATCTTGCCATGAAATGCTATTTTCGTCATAATGAAGTTGACATTTCTGGTAGTGAGGCACATGGATTTCCATTAAATCTGGTATACACAATGACGCCCCCCTCATCTATTGGTTCAATCATTGGGTCACCATTTTTCTCCTCCAGCACTTTGATTCATGATTAAGAACTGTGCCAGTTTGTTAACAGCCCTAAATTAAGATGATAAACACGGTTATCATCATACCTGTTAGATATACATTTTTTAGCATTGTCACTGTGAGCATGTTAACTGAATGCTGATCATGCATTTAGTTCAAAGCAACACTATGCCAAGGTACAGCCTCACTCTACTGTCATTTCTTTCAAGGTGTGTTGGGTGTCTTGCTCGCTAGGACAGCTGTTGGAAACACTGACCATATGGTCTCGGTTACTGGTCAGTCTATCAGAAAAGCCTACACTAAACTAGCAAAATCCAAGCACGGAAAACAAGGGTGAGGCTTAAAGCTTAATCATCGAAGAGGCACGTAGAAAAACGTGTTACATAAATGCCTGGAGAAAGTGCGGTGCTAGAAACATGGCATCCGGCCTGATGCAAATATTCGCTGAATTCTACTTATCCCATCTGCTCGAAGGGGGCAGGGGAGGGTCTGGCATCGGAAGAGACTGTGGACATAAAGAGAGAGGCAGAATGAGAGACACACACACAAAGAAGGCTGAGGGGGAGAGGTGAATTGGGTTGGAAAGATGGTGGAGAACAATCTGAAATTAATCTGGACACTCCAGATGGTATGAAGTTTTTGTATGTGTGTGTGATCACGTGTGCATATGCCTGTCTCTGTGCTGCAGCCTGCCGTTTGAGCCTGTCTATAGGTATTTACGCGTGTTTCTGGGTGTTGTGTTACTTCAGACAAACAAGAACATCTGGTATGTGCACAATGCGGACGTTTTAATCTCATTTAGAGTGGAAAAGACAAAAAACACAGAAAGAGACGAACACCAATTTACTTTGTTAGCATTTGCTTGACTAGATTGTGACCTAGAAGATAGTGTCTCTGTAGTGCACAATGCATTATTTTGTGTGCGCGTGTCTGTGTTCACGATGATATAAGGTTAATAAATCAATAACCTTCACTGTCTGAGAAATAATTACTGCTGGCTTTCATGCTGGCCACACACATTCTCTCCCTTACTCACACACACACACACGCACACGCACACACACACACACACACACGCACGCACACACACACATGCACGCACGCACGCACGCACGCACGCACGCACGCACGCACGCACGCACACACACACACACACACACACACACACACACACACACACACACACACACACACACACACACACACACACACACACACACACACACACACACACACACTTTGCACAACGTGTCCTGTATATTGCAATTGCTTTAGGAGTGCAATGCGTAACATGTTTCTTGAGGAGAGAGAAACAGAGAATGAAATGTGGCAAAAAAGAAGTGAAGACAGAGTTTGTAAACGAGCAAAGAGAATTGGATACTCAAAGGAGACATACTGTAAAACAGGGTCCTTAAATACTGACTGTGTTATTTAATATTATTACTATTTGGCGTTTTGCTTTGACATCTGATACTACACTATTTTAACCATATAATACTTATTTTGTTTAATAGAAGTTACTTTGGGAACCACAACTGTTAATCTGGTCAGTTTTGTTTTCCTTTAGCTAGTGCTTGTCTTCTCTGGATTGTTTTGTTCTGTTTTTGTTTAGTGCAGTCTGTGGTTTGATTTTGTCTGCTGCAGTTACACGTACTGTAAAGATTTCCTCAGATTTGTTACACATTAACATAGCTGTTGGCTGCTTTAAGAGCTGCTTTATTATTTATTTACTGCCTTTTTTGTCTCGCTGAACTTCACACTTAAAAGCTGTTCATGAATTCTTCAAAACCCAGCCAGCTGTATAGAGTCTGTTCTGCTGTCCATGTGTGTGTGCAGCTCTGTCCCCCGTGAAATACGCTCATACATGTATATGCTAGTAGTCGGCATCGACTGACACCCAGTGGAACGGTCGAGTGCCTAAAGTCCTGCTGAGATAGCACAGATAAGTGTAAAGATGGCCTCTACACCAGATCATATCCCCCCTCATACCAAGGAATATGTTATCAGATGACAATGACGTTTCTCTAACTTTAAAACAAGTTCAAGCAAGTTGTTTTAGATAATTATATTACCATATTTTGGCAGATACATTTATACATTTGAAGGTCGACATAATGCTAATGTTCTGTGTGATGGACTGCTCTTATAACATATTCTCTGCTTAAACTGGCTTAGCTTGTATGCGTACATTTGTGCATGTGAAAATATTATAGTTAATGTAAATGACATACATACAGTAAGCTATGTTCAATATTAGGATTCTACAAATTCTAATGCCTAATTTTAATGTTAAATTATTTAATTTCATGGGATTTTTACGAGTGAGCATTCAGATGAAATGGTACATGCTGTTAAAACAACACCATACAGTAATCTGTGCAAGTGTGTAAAGGTGTATGTGTCAAGTTATCTCCGGTTGGAGGTAAGTGGATCACAGCACAAGGATTAAAAGGTTTGCAGCCTTGAATCTAAATATATACTGTGTATGCACTCATATACATCACTGTATGAAAGCTTTTCATGGCATATGCTCCGGTGTCATGGGAGGCTGTGAGCCATGTGTTGCATTGTGTTGGAGTCGCACGCGAGGACAGGGGCTTGTTATCTAGTAACACTTGGCTTGGCACATATCACATAGTTTAGCTGTGCTCACTTAGTTTTCCCCAACACTACCAATTAATTTTTTTTTAAAGGTCTTAGAGGACATAACATAAACATGTATAATTAACTTTCATCGCAGTGGCATGAATCTAAATTCCCTCTTTTTTTAAACCCTGTAAATACCTGTACACATGTGAAAGATAAAAGGCACAGGATAGAAATGTCTGTTTCTTTAATATCTGAAGTATGCAAGGCAGGAATCAAATGCATGATTTTACGTCTAAATGATATACTTTAATGCAGATTTGAGATCCTCCTATTCTAATATGATGATGTCCTTATCTCTCTCTTCCAGTTGAATCTTGTGGTGGTGTCGTCCAGGGACTGAATGGCTCCATAGAGTCGCCGGGTTTCCCCCACGGCTATCCCAACTACGCCAACTGTACGTGGCTGATAATAACAGGGGAGAGGAACCGGATCCAGCTAACCTTCGTCACGCTGGCGCTGGAGGAAGACTTTGATATTGTATCAGTTTACGATGGACAACCGTCGCCTGGCAACCTAAAAATGAGGTTAGAAATGATTATTTCATTTACAGTTTGATCTTCAATCTGCTTCTCTATTTCTATCTCTGCCATCTTTCTCTTCAAACCTCCCTGACTCTCAGTTTGAGTGTTGCCCATCATCTTCTCCATCTATACTCATCAACTTCTTCTGAACAGACACTCAACATTTGGACAACATCATATTTGTCATACTTATCCCTACCAAGATGTACAATTACACAGTTACTATGAAGTCAAAGAACAGCGTCAGCTTTCATTTGATGGCATTTTCTTTCATTTTCGCTAAGTAGTTGGACAATATAATTGAAGATCTATCAAAGCAGACACTTTGACATAGTAAAGATTTGAAAGGTTACTTAATTGAACTCTAAATATGTCATCAGTAACACAACCCTCTGGATTATAGCATATACCCAGCTAGAATTTTTTGGTTCTAAAAACATTCTGAGAATGTTACATTCATTGTTCTAGGAATGTTTTCAGCGGGAAGTTTTCTTTTGGTTCCCAGAACGTTCTTCTGAACGGTAGGATAACGGTCTCTAAGAACATTCTTAAAATGTTTTTGATAACATTGTTAGAACATTATACCCTACTGTTCTTAAAACGTTTTCAGCTGCAAGTTAGATTTTATGTTGCCAGAATGTTATTATTTTAGAGAAGGATAACATGCTTTATGTTTAAAACATTATGCAAATGTTCTGTGGTAACAATTTGCTAAAATATTTTTACATTATTAGAACATAAAGACATAATATTCCTGTAATTGTTCAACTCAAAATTCCTGGGTGAGTGGACTGACCACTGTGGTCATTAGGATGATTATGATAGTTTACTTAACTATTGGAATTTGACTATTAACACATGCAAAAGGATGACTCGGAATCAGCTGGTGAGCATAACATTTGTTTATTAGAAAAGGGGAGCTGGGAGTGGAGGTTGGTTATGGCGGCAGTGGGAAACAGTTGTTCCAGGGTGGAGAGGCCTGGCTGGTCTTGGGAGTGTGGAAGGCCTTGGATTCCTCCTGGGAGAGACACACAAATGAGTGTGAGGCAAAAGCAGGCAAAGTTGTCAAAGAATATGCTGGCAAAAAGGTAGAGTGGCACGCAACAAAACAGCAGGGAATGAGTGCAGGCTGCAGGCTTTCATAGTGTGGCTGGTGAGCAGGTTGCAGGTGTGGTTGATTGGAGATTGCTCCCAGCCGTGTAGAGCAGACCAGCAGGCAGGTGGGGGGGGAGAGAGACACACACAGTAGAAACAAACACATACAAACACTAACAAGGGTTTAAGGGACGGGCAGTGATAGTCGGTCCATTCTTCTATATGTCTGTCTTTGGTTTTCTCAGTGTTATTCGATCCATATGACCATAGAGATATGTGCATAAACAACAAAAACACTTGGGGTATAATGTTCGAACAATGTTATCACCAAACATTTTAAGAATGTTTTTAGAGAACGTTATCCTACCTTTCAGAAGTACATTCTAGGAACCAAAATAAAACTTCTCGATGAAACCATTCCTAGAACAATGAATGGTAACATTCTCAGAATGTTTTTAGAACCAACAATGTCTAGCTGGGAACTCAGACATGCCTACGCAAACGTGCAATATCATGAATTACGTGCTTGATTTTTTTTAAAAAAGGAAAATGTGGTGACATCAGATTTCTTTTTAAACATCCTTTTCAAACAAATGCAACAAGTTTGTTTTTTAAAGCGCACTACAAATAAATCTGACGTTGACCATGACCCTGTTAATATTTCGCATCACAGGAACGTTTTATAAAAAAAGAATAACCTGAAAACATTATCCAAATGTTGCTTTCAAAATGTTCTTCTTTGGTTATCATGTAACACTGAGGGAATGTTTTATAAAGAACATCTTTAATGTGTTACCCAACAACGTCCAAAACACATCCTTAGAATGTTGGACGCAAAACATTCCACCTTTGTTAACATATCACATTAAAGGAACATTTTAGAAAACACTTTGTCATCGCAGGCCTCAATAACATCCTCAAAACATCCTCTGAATGTTGCAGTTAAAATGTTATGTCTTAGTTAACCTTAAACCTTATAGGAACATTATTTGAAAAAATAAACATCCTAAAAAGGTTCTTTGAATATCAGATTAAAACGTTTCTTTAAAACCTTATTAGAACCTGTAGGTAATGTTAGCCAAAGTTGTGAGAACGTTCCCCGCCAGCTGGGTATGTGCCTGCAAGCACAGTTCAGATGAAAACAATGCAGTTTGTTTGTGTATTTTTGGAGAAAACAGTATAGTTTGTGTGTGTTTCATGAGAGGTTCTGTAATATGAGGAGACACCACTTACACTCCACACACATCACAGCATGTTGTATGATATGGAGTTTTTGAATATATATTTATTCGTTTTTTCATTCTTTGATTCTAGCTATAAAAAGTTCTAACTTGATTCCTCAAATTATGCTGTTAGCGTTTAAATCTTTATTTTCTCCTTTGATCAACAAAAATGTGCAGGAATTATAGTGTAAGTCATTAATGAATTGGTTGCACCAGCATTGCAGAAAGGGCAGATACAGTACAGCACACAGAGCTGGCTCACTGTGTGAAGCTTATTCATAGAGTCGGCTGTGTGTAGGAGGGATGAGCTGGGAATGCACCAAGTGGTGTTAGAGGTTGGTGATGCAGTTATGGATAACAGTGGGTTTTTCCTTGAAAACATGATATAGCTGTATTATGTCAATGTTAGAGTTGTTTCACTGGCTGGGGGAGAAGAGTGCAGACTGCAGACTACACTGAGTGGACGGTTTGAGTGGAGGCTCACAGTACAGAACGGCTTTATTTTGAGCAAAAGTTCTCACAATCAGGTCTCTTTCTCTAGTTTATTGCTATATAGAGGTTGGAAAGTTCAGTATTTAACATTGACACACTGTATTGAACTCTATGTCAGAACAGTGACTGAATTTAACTTATTCTAGTTCAGGTCATTCTTTCCGACTGTTAGTTGTGAAGAGTAGTTTGTTTGCCGCGCGTAGGACTTTTGCCCTTGATGTATCAATCAGGATTGTTTATTAATTCAAATCTACTCTGCACTACCACCCTCATCTGTTCAGCACGATGCTTCTCGTTTGACAGATTGCTTGTCTTTTAGATCCACAACAAGCCAGTAGGACCAAGACAGTTTAGTTTGGCCTTATGTTTTGCTTGCCTCAGTGAAACGTGGTGTGATTAGCTATAAGATCTTACAACATAAGGCCTAAGAGACCACTTGTTGAAGCACTGATTAATAAGAAGCTTCACAGTGTTCACTTTCAAGATGTCTTTCGGTAAGTAAAGCTCAAATATATCTGTGAAATGTCTCCTGCGGGGGGAGAGGGACATCTCCACCTGGACGGACGGTGCTTAGTGTGTCAGCAATCTGCTGCTATGTTTACGAGAGCACAACTTATTCATAGAGCTTACCTCTTATTGTGCAATCAAAGTGCACCAGATCGAAGCAATTAACTTTAAAATATCCTTGACATCTGCAGAAGAAAGCCTAACACCAGGCTGCACCTACTGTAGGAGCCCCCCCCCCCCATGGTATCACCAGAGTTTGCCGACTGCAGGACTTATTTGAGTTGGAATGACGCATGCACCAAAAAAGGCCATTGCTCTTTAGAACTAGTGGTGGCATGACAACAGTAGAGTTACTGTACCGGTGACTCACCTGTGTCCTGCCCTTTTCTCGGATTACTTGCTGTGTAATGCTCCTTCAACTGTAGCAAGACAATAATGTGCTCCTGCAAAATCAGTGTTGTTATGTGACACTTTTTGCGGGTTTTACTAACACCTGCAGCATCACCTTATAGGCAGAAGCATTAGTAGCAGCTTATAGCACCCGGATTACATAATTTTAAAAGGTGGATGTGGAAGCTGTAACCCTTCTTCAGCAGTCAGCCCTGTAACGGGTGTTAAGGTGTTAATTAGGTCTGGGGTTATTTAGCACTCACATTATTGGATACCCAACTAAGTATACCAGCTGTGTTTCTACTGTTCTTCTGCAAACCTTGAAATGTTAGAGATCCATTAAAGAGTAGAGCATTAGTTTCTTCTAGAGCTGCCTTAAGTGCAGTGAGCACTCGCAGTAAACCCATTCCCGATGTCATTTAGAGCAAGTGACTAAGCTGGGAGCTGCGGTGCTCATTCTCTCCTCAGCTTAGCTCCTCTGTTGATGTTAGCACTTCTGTGAATGGTGTGGACATGACTGAGGAGAGGCAGCATAGTGCTGGAATGAGACCCCTCGTCGGCCTTCTTTTGTGCCTGCAGGGTCTCCCTGGTGAGTGTCATGGTGGGCAAAGCTTCAGCCCAGCTTATAGGGATTCCAGCTCTAGCTGAGTGTCAGTAGATTTTAAATCACGACTCAACACCCTCACTTTGCTTATTAGATTGTAAAATGGTTTTTTTCAATAAATATTAGAGCTTATTCGGACAATCCTGCTGCTGCTTTTTCTCTGTCTAAGCTATATGAGGGGCAGTGGTCAACCGGTTGACTTAAAACCCTCCTCCTCCCAGCATTTCGCTGAAATGACTTGCTGATATGAACCCATCAGGCTTCCCACATGGACAGTGGGATGAAGCCAAGAGGAGCTGACTGCCCTCTCTTTGTTCACAAAGAGAAGCACGGAAGAGGCAGGATATATCTTTCTCTCGCAGCCACCCCTCCAACTGCCCTCAGACCCTGTGTGTGGGGAATGCTGATATCTCATATATAGAGAGAAGAGCTGACCCTGCATCTGTGGCCTCTTCTCTCCAGCCCCAGCTGTGCGTCAGCAGCGGTAACTCTACTCCATCCCACTCACTCCGATGAGTGATGTCAACAGTGTGAACATATTTATTTCTGAAATTGAAAATCTTCCCTCATACAGGAACCACTGCCTGCCATAAAGTGCCATAGGAGAATTTTTTGTAATGCTTTTTTTCATCACTGAACAAGAAAACTAGTCATCACTCGCCCACAGGTTCAGAGGGAGTTAAACTAAAAAAATAGACTTGCAATTTAGTATCACTTTACATTTCTATTGTTTGTCACTTTGATAATAGTCATGCCTCCCTGGAAAATAAAGTGAAGTTTATTGCGGAGGAACTGGTGTCTCTAATGCAGTGGTCGCCAACCAGTCGAGTTTGGTGCGGGTAGATCAGGGGTGGCCAACCAATCAGAGGTAAAGAGCCAATAATTTTCCTGTG